ATTTGCAAAGTAATTATGCGAATATTATTTATTTCTTAAAAACATCCCCCTCTATGGATTGTAAAAGAAGAAAAAGACATAGAATATGAATTATTTAAAATTCAATTTCTAGTAAGAAATTACCAATAACACACCCAAGGTACCAAACTTTCCTTTGGTGGCTTTCTTAGACAGCACGCAGACAGAAGTTGGCGGCAACTGCCAAAGTTTGTGAGCACCATTAAAAAGCATTAAAATACTTTTATTACTTGATTATTATTGGTTTGTCATTGGGAAAAAGTAGAAGTTTGATTTTTTTCCCTTCCAGTGCCAAAATATCTCGGGCTACCTCTAAACTGTACAAACTATACTTCTCTTGACACATAACAGAATTTTTGTCTGATGCAGAGAACTCCATAATCCCCAGAAAAAATAGAGAGTGCAAATTTGTGCTTTAGGTAGAAGAGAGGTTTTCCTTTCTTTACATCTTCTCAATAACAACTCTGTGACATAAGTTGGATTGAGCGAATGGGACTGGTTCAAAATCACCCATGAGTTTCTATGTCTGGGATTCTGTGGTCCAACATCTTAGCCACCAAACCATTTTGGCTCTTTATCAAATGTATACTAAACAGAAATATAACTAGAGGGTCTAGGTCAAGGGTAGGCAACCTTGACTCTTTTATGACTCATGGACTTCAACTCCCAGAATTCCTCAGCCAGCTTTGCTGAAGTTGAAGTCCATGAGTCATAAAAGACCCAAGGTTGCCTACCCCTGGTCTAGGTGTACCTCCAGAGTGAAACAACCCACTTCACAAGGATGTTATTTTTAACATACATCATCAGCCAATCACGGATGGCTGTTTTATAAAGTTTCTCTTCCCATCATGCAGTGTCAGAAGAGCATCATCTCTGGCCACATTGACAATTAGTTATTAAAGTAGAATGCAGCTCTTCAGTACAGGTAGTCCTCGAGTTACAAGTGTAATGGAGCCTGCCCATTTCACTCATAACTTGAAAACTCCTGGGAGTGAATCTCGTACCTCGAACGAGATCGCTCCCTTGCTTGTTAAGATGCACATGGATCATTAAGTGAACATGAGGTATCTCAGGGTGAGGAAGGTCATGGAGGACCTAGTGAACCACTTCCAGAACCACTAAGACACCTCATGCTTCCCCCTTCCTTCCTGCCGCGCTAGACTGACCTGGAAAAGATCCATCTCCTCTCTGCTGTGGTTCCTGCTGCCGCCCGGTTCTGAGGCCGGGGGAGGCTTCCGCAGTCCTCCAGTGGCCCAATCCGGGCACCAGAGGCCTTCTCCAGGCTGCTGCTGCCCGGATCTGAGGCCGTGGGACGCTTCAGCCCTCCAGCCTGTTTCCAGACAGCAGCAGCCTGGAGAAGGCCTCCGGTGCCCAGATTGGGCCGCCGGAGGGCCGCGGAAGCATCCCCCGGCTTTGGTCCCGTTCTCTGTTGCAGCGAACAGAGGCCTAAAGTACCAGGAGATCATGCGAGATCAGTAGTGTGAGATCTCGCCCCACTGATCTCGCAGGATCTTGCATTACTTTAGGCCTCCATTCTCTGCGAATGCACCGAAGGCCTGGAGCAGCCAAGAAAGTGAAGGATCCCGATCTTCATAGGACGAGTATGGAAGGCCTGGTGCCTAGGGAGACCCGGGGCGGGGGAGGGGAGGGAGGGAATAACCAGGGTGAATGTTGCAGAGCCACTGCAATCGCTCGTACGGGAGAACAACTGCTGTGGCACTGCAATATTCATAATTTCGGGACTTGCTCATAAGCACTAGGGGAAACTTATCGCGTAACTTCGAACAAGCATTAAGTGAACACTCGTAACTTGGGGATTACCTGTAATTTATTTCAAAAATTTTATACCACTGCATTCTGTGCAGTATACAACAACAACAAAACAATATCAATAATACACTATAATCAAGTACAATAAAAGTCCAGGGTGACCCACTAGTATAATATAGGCACTAAAGGCCTACTTGAAATGAATGTAATGTTAGTGACTTCTTAAATGCCAAAAGTGATTGGAGTAGGTGTATCTCTGGAGGCAGAATTTTGAAAGATGTGGGGGATACCACACAGAAGTCCTGCTTTTTAATCCATGGCCTCTTAGTTTCACACACAATAGTATTTTGGCCGCTGTCTAATTGTCCTTAGAGACCAGGAAGACTCACTTAGGATTACTGCTTAATGCATCAAACCGACAAACTATATTAAAAAAAAAAGATGGGAAGATATAGGTGGGAAATAGTTGAGGATAAGTCATGACTGAGATTTTGGTGACATGAACCTCTGGAAATCTTATGTCGCACTTGATAGCAGAAGAGTTTGCTCCAGGTTAAATTTCTTTGCAAAAATGTTATTTTTTAATAATAGTATCAAACTATTTTAAATTCTTAACCCTGAGTTGAAAAGACAATTGCCAATAATGGTGGGCTAGCCCAAAAGTGAAGCTTTGGGGAAGGCAGGTCTCTGGATATTTTCCTCACCCACTATTTTCCCTGTCTCCCATCACATTTTATATATATATAGTGAAACTGTGATGATCTGCTTACTAACTCACCACCACTGCATGTAATATGTGGGAGGTAATGATCTCTTGTTTACAAGATTGCTCAGTCTCTTGTGACCTTATTTACCAGGATGTCATAGACAGCCCAACCAAAAATAAAATAAAAAAGTTTTAAAAAGGTAACTTGCATTGAGGGAAATCTACATATGAAAGGGCAAATATGGATTAATGGGTTACACCCTGTTGTTGACCCAGGAAAGTGGACTAACAAAGGCATGCATTATCTACAGACTAATGGAATGTTTATAAATATATCTTCCTCCCTTAGGAAGAAGATATATCTACCTTCTTTAGAAAAGCAGGGGTGGCGATGTCTCTAGAACTAGTAAAGAGATTACAATACAATACAAGAGGTCTATGGAGATTCTCAGTCATCCAGGTCAATACAAATGTGCTTTTTTTTTAAGTCAACTGGATTTTCTGATTTTCCATTAAGACATTTTGCTTTTCATCCAACAAGCTTCTTCAGTTCCAATTAACAGGTAGGGATTCCTTAAAAAAAGCACCTTTGGGTCAATACAACCGAAGAGAAAACCTTCTCCTAAACTAAAACACTCCTGCTGTCTATCAAACTGGAGAGGTTCATCTCCAATGGTGGCCAAGCCTTAGGTCTATCTTTCTCCACTCCAATCACAGGTCTGTGGAGTTCACTTCCCAACATAATGCAGGGATTGCTACACCCATTGTGTGTAAAAAGGCTTTAAACCCATATCTTTCCTAATGACCTATGACTGGGGTAGGCAACCTTGGCTCTTTTATGACTCGTGGACTTCAACTCCCAGAATTCCTGACCCAGTTGAAGTCCACGAGTCATAAAAGAGCCAAGGTTGCCTACCCCTGACTTATGAGAATTATCTGCCTTTTTTTAGAAAACATTTATCCTTTGTCACAAACTCATCATTTAATCTCAATACAAGCTTGTACCAACTGCATATGTCTCGTATGTTTTAAAGTAACCATCAGATACTTAGCAACGCTAGTATACCAACTGCTTATATGACAGTTACCCTACAATCAAATATAAATAGATAAATAAGCTTTAAATGGAAGAATGTCAAAACCACTCTTCCACTGTTGTTCCCATCTTTTAAAAAGTGGGTGAATTGAGGGGTTTCTGGATGCCAAATAACATAAAATAATTGTGCAGATTGCGAAAGGACCACTGAGATTGGTAGCTTCTTCGGCCCTCAGTATTTAGGGGTTGTCCTTCAATCAGACGTTCTTAACCTGGGGACTGCCAAGGGACCACCTAGGATAGCAACAAGTCTATTTTGACAGACAAAGACTAACTCTATTGTATTCTTGTAAGAAAATTCAAGTGGGAAAAATGGCTTTCTAAGTTTTTAGAAGAAACTTTTACTATACCTATTTTCTTCTCCCAAAGGAATAGTTTCCTCATTGGAGAACTAAGAGGTCAGCTTTTGCCTTATTCTAAGAGAAGGGAAAGCATCATTTATGTTTTCTCTTCTACCAAAAATATCCTCATTTAGAATTCCCCCGATCAAAGTCCAGGGAAACTTACTGCATGACACAATATCATCACATTTTGATGACATCTGCTACAGATGATATGATGACTAATATGCTCAAGAAGCTTTCGTTTTCTTAATCTGGGGCCTTCCAGATCTGTTCAGACTGCAACTCCCAGATAGCTTGGCATAAAATCTATAATGCTGGCGTGACTTAATCCCAACACTTCTGAGGAACTACCAGACGAGGGAAGATTACAACTGATATTTTAAAAAGGGAAGCGTCAGGTTTCAAATAGAAGTCCTGTGTTTGTTGTGAACTTTTACTTTTTTTCCCCTTTCTCTATCTATGTTAACTCCAGGAACCACTCACTAAAACAAGTCACCGAGGGTGCAAAGTCATTCTACGAAGAGAAGATGCAGAACATCATTTCATGTATTGTATGAATGTATGTTCCATATATCTTGGTGAGAAGACTGGGTTGGTGAAAAATAAGTAAAGAGTATGTGCCATTGGTTGGGGCTGTTCTGTGATGGTCCCTTGCAAGGTCACTAGTTTTAACTCACAGCATGATGAATTAAAACCACGACAGATTTCATTGTCTCCCTTTCACTTGCTGGAAACAGTCGAGTCTTACTATGGCAAGTTTTAGTTACGAAACGAAGTGCAAGTACATCACAACTTTCTGGAAAACATTAAGAATTGGCCAAAAGCTGAAAAACAAGAGGTTTTGGGCTGAAATCCCCTTCTATGGTGTTATCTTGACATGAACACAACTTTGCAGATAACAGAACTAGTGAGTTTTTATTCATATGTTGAAAGGATTGATGAATTTGCAGCTTAGAAGGCAACCTGTTTTCTAGAGACAGCATAAACGTCATGACATATTTTTGCAGGAAAATTTGAGAACGTTTTTCTAAACAGGACAGACACAACACTGAATGCCAGAACGTACCTGCTTCACCCCGGAGGGCTTTTTCCACTGCAACTCCCCTCTCCTCCAACTGTCTTTGCTTCTCTTCAACCTGCTCTAGTTGTCTTTGGATGATCTACGGAAGGAGAACAACGATCCTAATGACTATGCACTTCACATATATGAGATTTTCCTAGTATTGCAAAGAAAGACATACCCATTAGCAGTCCCATTTCTACACCCTACCAGTTGATTCTGTAGGACCATTACAACATAGTCAAGTGCATATCTATCACTCTAGTGACTGTTAGGAACACCTCTCCCTCCCTAGCTTTTACCACAGTGACACGTAGAGATGCCGCCACAGAACAATACTCCCAGCTGGCAACAAAACCTTTTCTATATATTATGACTGATTAATAGGGCAATAATTTATTCTTTCCCTTCTTGGGCCTCAGATCTTGTAGACCAGGGGTCTTTAAACTTGGCCCTTTTATGACTTGTGGACTTCAACTCCCAGAATTCCTCAGCCAGGAATTCTGGGAGTTGAAGTCCACAAGTCATAAAAGGGCCAAGTTTGAAGACCCCTGTTGTAGACTTTTACAGTAGCACCCCCAATATACTACACCAGGGCTTCTCAACCAGTGGTACGGGTACCACCTGTGGTACATTGGCACCTGGCAGGTGGTACGTGACTATCCCAGAAAAATGGTAGCGGGGGAGGGGAATGAGCTGAACCGGTGGCAGCATCGCACAAGCCTGAGTGAGAGATGGCTGGAGCTGCAGGGCTGTCAGGGCTCAGCGGAAGC